TATGGTAGACTCTTCTGTTAAGTGCTTCACATAAACTGCAACTATAGCGCTATTCAGCTCTACTTACCTGGTTCACAGAACTCACCTGTCCCATCCTTTCTCCCTCTGCCATTTTTTTCACATGGAGAATGCTGTGTCTCAGAATGAGAGATTCTTGATCACTGGTAGGCTCTCCAGGTAAACAAGAACCCCAGATATTACAGGGTTCTTGCTTGCATGTAGAGCCTACACGCAAGGAGAGCCCTTCTCCTCTTCAGATACATTGTTCTTCATGCAGAGAAAGTGGTGGCGGTGTGCCTTTCTGTGGAACCGGTCGGGTAACAAGTGAATAGGACTTATGAGATCATTTCTCTCTAGCAAAAAAACCAAGCAGTTCACTCAGTTTCTGACAATTCTCTTTCTCTTACTTCATCACACAATAATATATATTGTAATAAATATTTCCAAAAATTGGCTTGGATAATGATACATGATAATGCAAAAGAAAAAATCAACACACCCAACAAGTTACAAATGACACAAGCTAGAAATATTGCCCCTTTAAGTGCAATAACTGGATGGAAGTAATGGTGAAATCAATACAACCAAACTTCCCAACAGTGGCAGTGAGCAGTGAGGTGAATGAGGGAGGAGACGACCAGCACAGGGGGAAAACCAGTCATCGGGGACACAGAACACTGGGGTGGGAGTAGTGGAACTAATGGGAAAGCTGTGAACTTTCACTGTTGGAAAGTATCTGCAGAATTCACACGCCTGGTTTACATTTCTGCTTGGTGACTTTGGCTTTCTATCCTCAAATCCAAATGTTAGTCTCAAAGACTGGTGTATCTTAGTCATATTTTCCATGCTCCAAATTATGGCCCAGGATACTCTGTGTGGTATAGTGGACAGAGTAATCAACTAGGAGGCCTGAGTTCAAATCCCTGCTCAGCCATGGAAACCCACTGGGAATGTGGAACCAGTAAAACCACTCCTTAAACATCTAATTTACCTTGAAAGCCTTGTTAGGATTCCTGTAAGTCACATCTGACTTGAGAGCACATAACAAATTACGGTATACTCGTAAAGGATACATTTAATCCAGGCTTAAGTGGACGAAAGCACCCTTCTAAAAGCCATCTAACCATCTTGAAAAGCCTATCCTTCTTTGTATAAAATGTAGTCGAGGGGTCTGCTTAGTTAGGGGAACACCATTTATGGCACACACAGAAATAAAAGATACTTATCCAGTCGCCAATGGCAGTTTGGTCCACTTGGAACACATCAGACATGCATAAAATACTGTAGGTCTCTTCTCATCACCAGTTAAGTAGGTTGTAGATCTCAGATTCATATCCAACAAGGTAAAGATATTAGACACTGCTATGGCTGAACTGGTTAAATTACTGGATCACATACTGCATAATAGCACCGTATTACATAATGCATTGCATCTCACTTATGCAAAGAGGCCTAACATAATACACGAACTATTTTACATCTCTAGAGAGACCTGGCTGCAGGAGACTTTTGAAGAATCCATTGATCCACAATTGATTCACAAATGTGACTATTCAGCATTAAAGAATGGAGGCTTGGGGCAGAGAAAAAGAAAGAGCAAGGGGATGGTTTGATGCACCTATTTTTTTGAATTTATAAAATAAACACTATCAGACTGAACATTTTAATAAAAGAACCTAGGGCTCTTGCAAATGCATAATTCACTTTGCTATAGGACATGGTTTTGATGCTAATATCATCAGCATAATGTGCAGACTCCAAACAATATTCTTCTTGTCCAGATTTTTCCCCCACTCAAATCACAGTCAAATTTGGATGCTTTCTTCTCCTCTGGCTATGAAAGTGCTTTAAAAATCATTTTAAAATACTTTTTTTCTTAATTATCTCACTTCTCTCATAGGTATCTACAATATTACAGCTGGCTGAAATCCTATTACTTAACATAGTAAATCTCGCTAGAGGTAAGCCACTGAATCGGTGGGGATTTGCTGAATCAACTTCTCTGTAAATTCTGTTGATTCAAAAGGCCCTACTCAAGTTGGGACTTAGTATGCTAAAGCAAGTTGCACTTTGAGGAGGCCCATTTGAATCAATGCAGCTTACAGAGGAGATGACTCACCAATTCCCACTGCTTCAGTGGGCCTACTCTAGGATGATGTACTACACTGCAACAGGATTTTGGCCAGTACATTTCACACTGCTGATGGGCATCTCCTCGCTGACATACACGTACAGTGCAGTGCCAGCGGGACTGACCTCTCCTCAGATTTACTGTCCTTTTGCCCTGCCGTTCTTTCATTCTGATCTCAAGTTGCCCATGCTCTTCTATATCCACAATAGTAATCCTTCTTCCATTTTGTTTTCCTTTTCTTAGTTCAGGACCATAGCTACCTTGAACTCAGTGGAAGAAGGGCAGGATAGAAATGTAACTAATAAATAGCTAACACACACATACTGTCCAAGCCGAGGTGAAGAATTCCAGCTAAAATATCTGACAACTGCAGTTGTCCTCTTTTCTGTTGTGGTTTATATCCCTGATGCAACGTCTTCACTTCCTTGTAGTTTTTGGCAAGACTGCATTAAATCACTTCAACACTAAATAACTAGCATTACTTTAAAAAAAATACTGGATCAGTGCTGTATCACTCTGAGTATTACAATGATACACTGTAGTTAGGGAAGGAAGAGGGAGAAGACCCAGAGTCCAGTGTGAATGACAGGTGGAAAAGGGAATAAATGACAACAGATATGTCATCTTTGAATGCAGACACAACATAAAGTGTCCTCTGGTGGGGTTAAAGAAAACAAAAGGAACAAAGCAGTGCTCAGCAGCACACAATAAGGAAGAGTGCTTAGTTTTTCAAAGACTAGTAAGACTACCCAGGCCCGTTCTTTTATATGTTGTCAGTTTATGCTCCTCAAACTCAAGATTTGAGTCATCAATAACTATGAAGTGAAAAGAAACTATTATTCTTCTTTTGCAGAAGGAGCCACAGCTTAGTGGTAGCACACATACTCTTTCATATGGAGGCTGAAATCCTGTTGCTTAATTATGCATGCAGAAGGCAAATGGCATTAACATTCAGTCACTCCTAGCAGGCAATTAATTCATCTCCATTGGGACTCTCAAGCACACACCAAGCCCATAGGCGCATACGCCCACGAGAAGCCCAGAGGCAAATCATTACCACATACAAAAATTTAAGCTCTCCAGAGTTTTCATTGGCCATATTAGTTGAGGGAATCATAGTCCACAGAAGTAGCTTTTCCAAATTCTTGGTGCAAAAAGAACAAGAGGAAGAAATATGCTTTCCTGCTGAAGATTATGTTTCCATGCATAGCCGAGGGGAAAGAACTCCTGCTCTACAACACAGTCCTCTGAGGTTGTTCATGGAAGCTAGGTACAGACAGCCATCACTGCTGCTATTAGCAGATAGTCTCTTCTCACTATGCCTCAAGTATAATTTCCATAGCTGTGAATTCTCACTGTCTGCATGGCAAGTAGGACAACAGTGAAACATATGATGTATAGACCACAAACCCATAAAACACCGTCTGGTTTCAAAGATGAATGCAGAGTGGTATGGAACTCTAGAACATCATATCACTATAGTTATGAGACCATGTCTGTATTGATCTGCACCTGCCTTGTATGCAATCTGAATGATTCAGCAGGGAAATCTGCGATAAAAAGAGCTGCTACTTAAGATCACAGATTAAGATTTTGCTCCTGACACATCCCTTTAAAGAGGATGGAGCTGGCCATGCAGTTGACTTCCCTGCCATAGGTTTCTTTGGCAAAAAGCTTAGCTCATATTTTTTAAAAAAATCAAGATAATTCCCAAGGGCGAGTTTGATAGGGAAGCAGAGTTTTGAAAAGTTACTTTTTGGAGTGACATTTTTTAGCTTTGGGGCACTTCTAGCCCATTGAATTCCAGAAATGGAAACTGTTCCAAGCTCTTTTAAAACTGTAAACTGAATCTTTCAAGGACAATGAAGGGTGTGGTTAGTTAATTCAGTACACACATGATGATAACAATTCCTGTGTTAGTTCAGATACACTCCATGTATCCAGCAATGGAGAAAGGCAGTGAATAGTATGGCCAGACAAAGTACTCTCCACAAACTTAATTTTAGAAGTTTAATGTTAGCTGCAATGTTTTCATTCCATCTACAGCAGTGACCAGCTTTATCTCTGCAAATATTCTTTATTGCACAACTACATTTCCAGCTGTTTCTAACTGGCTGATTCCAGCTGTGGCCTGTAACAAAGGCACTGGCACTGGTCTGTTCTAAAGAAATTTCAGACCATATTCATGTCAGATACATGTAAGATATAAGCTATCTAATCACTGCACAATCTGAAATTCCCAATCCTCTACAACAACCTTCCACAGCATGGCATCTCCAGTTGTTTTGGACTACAACTCATAACATCTGCTGTAAGCATTGGGTTTGCTGGGAAATTGACCATAGTTGCAATCCCAAACAGCTGGAAAACGCTAAAGGGTGGAGGAGGGGAGAGGCTGCAGTGGAATATACTTCTCCGTTATATAAGAATACTAAATGCATACACAGCACAATGAAGTTCTCCTGGAACTAAGTTAACATCACCCTCACCTTTGCTCTGTGGCTTTCAAAGAGTCACACCATCATGCCTTTCATAGCACAGAAAAATAAAGAGAGAAATGAATGGAAAATAAAGTTTAAACACCAGACTCTCTCTGTCTCCTCCCTGGCCCTCATTTCTGTTTTCTTTATTCTAACCGACAGAAGCTCTCTCTGAAGTTTTCTTTTTCACAAGCAGCACCTTTTGATCACAAACTGTAACAGCCAAGGTGCTGTTTAAATGCAAGCAGGGAACAAAGCGATTTATTAAATATGTAAGGGATGCCATCTCTTACCTGTCAGGTGCTCTGCAAGGGCAGGAGGAGAAAGGGAAGGCAAAGAAGAAATAGAGGGAAGGCTAAAAAGCAAAATTCATGGCTTTGAAAGGATATGGATTGCACACCATCTTGATACACCAGCTCCGAGGGCTCGTAGTCTGTTTCAAGCAGAAGAAAACCACAGGGGCCAAATCAGGGTAGGGTACATCTGGGTCAGGTGCGGGCTCCATCTCAGCATCATCATCATCATCACCCAGGTCTGGGGAGGGTGGTGGCTGCTCCAGTGGGGTTGATTGCTCACTAATTCCCAAATCCACATGTTCCACAGGGCACAGAATAGGGTTGTAAGTAGGAGGGTTCCCAGAGGTCCAGGCAGAAGAGGTGTGGGTGCCATGTTCTGCCATGTTGGCACAATATGAGAACCCCTGGAGAAGAAGAAGAAGACACGTCTGAAGAACCATCTACCATCAAATGCATAATGTGAGTGTTTTTGCTTTGACAATGCTGGCAGGCGATGTTGGGTCAACAAACCCACTCAGAGCAGTCACATATGCTCTTTTAGGGAGAACAGTTCTCCATTTGAAGGGCTGCCAGATGACAATCTTCCTTTTCAAGTTGCCCTCCATTGGAAGGGATGCCTGGTCCAATCCTGATTCAAAAGCAACGAATTGGAAAGAAAGAGATCAAGGACCTGGAAGGTGCCCGCCCACAGTGAGCATCTGGGCAGCAGGCAGAGAGGTAAGCTGGTTATAATCTCCCCCATTCCTGAATGGCGGGTTGTAATTCACTGTAAATTATAAAAACTGCACTGCAAAGTACAAAAATAGTTATGGTTGTAACTAGCTATATACAATCGTTTCTTCTTTCTTAAGGAAAAACTACGTGTACTAATTTTGTATTAGGGCAATTTTTAAATTGTGTAGATATACATAGTAAGCTAAACTACTTAAACAACAACAAATAAACAAACAAACAATGTGCCATCAAGTAATTCCCGATTTATGGAAAGTCTTTTCAAAGTTTTCTAGGAACAGAGTACTCAGAAATGGCTCACTACTGCCTTTTTCTGGATGCACCTTGTTACTGTGCAGTTTGCCCAAGGCTGTACAGGCTGACTCTTCTCTGGGAAGACACAGTGGGGAATTGAACTCCCTCCAGGCCCACAACCAAATACCTAACTCACTGAGCTATCCAGCCAGCTAATTGTGTATCTGTCTCATGGAAATTAACAAATAGTCAACATAAATGGATTTTCTACAATAGTGTTGAAATTACTGATACTACAATACTGGAAAGTATTCAGCAACTTGAATTCATTGTATAAAGACCACAGTTATTTATTGATGCTTACCTGGACATTTGATTACCTTTAATTTAAGCATGTGTACAGTTTTTTTTTCCAGATCGTTGGGCTTTTCTTTTAGTAGTTATTACTATTATTTGATTCCTTGCCCCTTCTGATATTTGTTTCTAGTTTTCTGTTTGGGGTCAAAAGAAAATTGGCCTGTTTGTAGCTTTCTGATTTATTTTTATAATTTAAGTATAGGAAAATGTAAGTCATTTCTAACTTCACATCTATACATATAATGAACTTTATATAATGAACGAGCTGGGGTTCAATCCCAGGTAGCCCGCTCAAGGTTGACTCAGCCTTCTATCCTTCCGAGGTCGGTAAAATGAATACCCAGCTGGCGAGGGGTGGGCAATGTGTAGCCTGGATAATTAAGTTGTAATCCACCCAGAAAGTGCTTGAAACACTATGGGGTGGTATATGTAAACAGCACGTTTTTGCTTTAGGTTTTGATAGTATGCAATTGGCTATCCTAGACCTATTTGCTAATGTCACTCAGCCTTCTATCCTTCCGAGGTCGGTAAAATGAATACCCAGCTGGCGAGGGGTGGGCAATGTGTAGCCTGGATAATTAAGTTGTAATCCACCCAGAAAGTGCTTGAAACACTATGGGGTGGTATATGTAAACAGCACGTTTTTGCTTTAGGTTTTGATAGTATGCAATTGGCTATCCTAGACCTATTTGCTAATGTCCTTATTGTTCTAAGCAGCACGTTTTTGCTTTAGGTTTTGATGGTATGCAAATGGCTATCCTAGACCTATTTGCTAATGTCCTTATTGTTCCAGACCAAGGATGGTCCATGTCCAAGTCTTTGGTACAAAGTCCTGATTCCCAAGCCTGAATCCCTATTAATCACAAGCTTTTTTTCCCCAGAAAAGAAGAGAGGTGGGTGGATGGGTTCCAAGTTGTGAGTCGGGTCTGAGTCATTGAAAAAAAATCAACATGAGATAAGTCACCAGAGCAACTGAAGTCTGACTTGACAGTGAGTTTTGTGATTGGAGCCTCCACCCCTTTCCCAGACCATAACAAATTAACTTCCCATAAGCCCTCCTCGCTCTGAAACAATAAAAATGTTTAAAAGGCATTAATAATAGACCCTGATATCAGAAGTGCAATCTGACTCAACAATGGTCTATTAAACAGTCCCATTTTATAACGGTTGTAGACCAGCAGTAAATAAGTGATGGTCTAAAGCAGTGGTCCCCAACCTTGGGCCTCCAGATGTTCTTGGACTTCAACTCCCAGAAATCCTGGCCAGCATAGGTGATGGTGAAGGATTCTGGGAGTTGTAGTCCAAGAACATCTGGAGGCCCAAGGTTGGGGACCACTGGAAGAAACTTCATGGCAAACCTCATGCAAGGACTAACTGTTGGCAAACAGCCATTCTGAGGCTGTGGTGAACTGTGATGAAGTACAAATTGATTTGCACCTAATTTGATTAATACTGGGAAGGGTACTGTCTTCAGACAAATGTATAATCATGAATTGAAATCACAGCTGTTTCTGCATTTCCAAGGCAATCGCAAGGTGAAGCAAATAGTGCAGGGCCACCCATGAAACAGTGGGGCTCATCACAGATCCCTCATGTTCAATCTAGCATTTGTAGGGCTTAAAATGTTACAACAAAAAAAGATGCCAGACAATTAAAACATGGGAAACAAAAACTCAAATGTACCAGTACCTTAAAAGAAAGATGCTGAACTAACACCAAGGGAGCAGACCCACAGCTTCGCCCACCTATGAAGCTCAAGCCTTTGCTGAACTCTCCAATTGCCGAGGCTCTCTAAGTCAAATCACTGACCTGTAGCATCTATAGTCCACATTGATTTCAAAGCTGCAGTTTAAAGTGAGGAACCTCCATTGCAGCAGAGTGCCTAGGTTTGGTACACTTGAATCCTGTCCCCATCCCCTTTCAACTTTGCTTGTTAAGGACTGAACACACATGTGTTCAAAGATGAATGCCTGCATTCCTTTAGGAAATCTGAGCAGTTAACTTTAGGATGCTCAGATCTATCTTTGTCCCTCCCTTGATTTCTCTTGTTGGTGCAATGGTGCCACTGCCAAAGTTCACAACAGCTGTCTTCTGTTTCTCTTTTGCTTCCATTCTCTGAGCCGCAGGTGGGGAAGTAAATCTGCTGCAAATTATTCTGATAGTATTGTCACATTTGTTTTCCCCATTTGCAAGAACAAATCCAGAAACATTCAAACACCAGCATGGATCTGGACAAGGACTAGGTCTGGAGTGTCTCCAAAAGGGCACAGGGCCAGTTAGACACCAAATTTTGTGCACTTATTCAGGCATAGTTTGAATGGAGGGGCCAGTGCACATCCCTAGTTGTGCATAGTTTCTGTAACTTACATGTAAAAAGCTTCTGAAAATTTACCTATACTGAGCCAAGTGTTGGAACATGGGTCATTCAATAAACTATGCAAATCATGATATCATCAAACCACTGTTTCCTCACAGGCTGCCTAGAAGCTGCACAGATCTACTCAAGTCAAATTTTAGCATCCCAATTCAGTTGAAGTACTTGGCATCGAAGCTTCTCAAATACAGAAGTCTCATTCCATCTCTTCCCTTCATACCCTACAAAGCCCATTCAAAATCTCCCTGCCAAAGTCACCTTTGCCGCGGTTTAATCACACCATGTCAATCCTTCCCAATTCAATTTATTAGCTCTGTGTTGACCATGAACATTGCACTGCAATCAAACTATTTTCAGTGTTTTCCAAGAGATTCGATCTTAAATCCAGGATCAAGACTCTACAACAGAGGCCCTGTCTTCCCAATCTTCTTTTATGTCAAATGCTTAGTCAATACTTGTGGGTAAGCAGCAACTGCAAAATACCAGCTGTCACCAGGTAGGTCTAGGAAAAGAATTCTTCCTTAGATTTTGAAAAAAAGTTGCCAATCATAGTTGAGAATGCTGAGCTAGAAGGCCCAATAGCCTGACTCAGTGCAAGGCAGTTTTCTGTGTACCTAGTTTTTCCCCAGAATTTACAGCCACCCCGATCAATGCTAAGGGATTCTGCAACCTCTGGTCAAAAACATCTGGAATGCCACAGATTTGCAATTTTGTGTATTGAAATCAAGAAATCACATTTACTAAAATTTCTGTAATTAAAAACTTAATTGGAATTAACCAAACTGTGAGACCAACTTCCTGAGTGAATCATTCCACTAACCAAAAAAAACCACCCCTGTTGCCTTTAACAGGTTAATATTCTAGTTCAATGCACTCTAGAAAGCAATACACATATCAGGGAGTGGGAGGGGGGACATGCTAGGTATTAAAGAGATAATAATGGAGACTATGATATCACCAAGTGCCCTCCTTTTAAAATTCAAAGTGAATTGTACAAAGTGAATGGATGTGGCATTCTCCCTCTTGTTTCTAAGCTTAATCAAAAACTGACAAAAGGTTATAGGAAAGAATAGGACAGCAGGCTCCACCACAGTCAGCTTGAAGCACTGCTGGGTCTGGCACAGCGCCCTGACAAGCAGCTGTTTAAGTCATTCTGAAACGTATCACAACTATTGGCTTTTTTTAAAAAAAAATTGCCAACAATTGTGTGAATTAAAGAAGCAGAGAGGTGGTCAACATTTCAACTGAAAACACAACTACACCATGGCTTAGGGGGTTGGTGTGTAGTGGAGTTTAATTTAAAACCTACCATGATGTCTGTAGTTTGAGTGAGTTGGAGGGACTTTTCTAGGATGGGGTGATTATCTATCCAGCACTTACCAATTGTTCTTTCTAATTTTTTAAATTCAAGAAGAGCCCCACCATTCTTTTGTCAGTTGGTGGCAGTTGTTTGTTGCTGCTCATCTGTTTGGTTGGTTGCAAGTGTGTGTGCAATAAATAAAGCAGCATGCAAGCATCATCTAGGGTGAGAGTTTCATCAGAAGCAATGCAGATTGCAAAATCCAAGGCTTCCAAGAAGAGGCATCAACAAATATTATCATAGGCATTATACAGAAGAAACTTCCACATACTCCCCTTTCTTTCTTTCTTTCTTTCTAAGAAACTCTTCCACATACTCCCCTTTCTTTATTTATTTGTTTGTTTGTT